TTCATATCCAACAATTTTTGTTTCAAACATTTTTTTATTTAATCGCGATGTTTCGAGTTATTTGGCTGTCTAAGTTAAAATGGGTCACCCTGTATATGTTTAAAACTTAATAATACTCGATTTTTATTTAAAACTGTGATTTTGATGTTTCATCCAAGTTTGATTATCAATACAAATATCTATAATAGAGAAAAAAATTGTAATTTTTTTCAGCAATATACATGGTGTTTCAAAATTCGTGGATACGAATTGCACGGCGTGATTGTATATGCCAAAAGAAGCAACTTTTCCTCTGGCAAACTTGTGTTCAAACAGTACTTTTTAAATGAGAGTAATTTTAAGTTAACGAATGAGCATTCCACGTTATAAATGGATCAGAAACAGCGCATATACGGCGCTGTTCGGCGTATGAGTATATATGTTATTGTTTTACTATTTTGCTAAAGATTTTATGAAAACTATGCATGATATTTAAATATCTCTATTTTGAATACAACTTATTAAAAAAAAGAATGTTTTCTAATTGATATCGCTGAAGAAACGATGAAAGTAAAATAAGTAGCTATTAGACAATTCATGAATAATTATGATATTTATTCTAGATATCGTGCACAGTTTTTATAAAATCTTTAGCAAAATAGTAAAATAATGACGTACATGCTCATACGCCGAGCCGCGCCGTGTATGTGCGCCGCTACTGATCCATGCGTAACGTGGAGCCCTCATTCATTAACTTAAAATTGCTCTTATTTAAAAAGTACTGTTTGAACGCAATTTTCCAGAGGAAAAAGTTGCTTCTTTTGGCACATACAATCACGCTATGCAATCCGTGTCCGCGAATTCTGAAACACCCTGTATAAGATGTAGCATTAAAAGTATGTGTACTTATTTATGCAACATTTATACACTACGCGATGAAATTAAAGCATCACCTCTCATACCTTCGAAAAATGGATAATTCAAAGGAGAGTAACTTCTACAAAAATGGTTAAAATGAGATTAAAAAAAAAAGGATTTTGTAGCTTGAAATCTCTACTTTCCAAATCTGTATAATGAAATAACGATTTGGCTGATTTTTACGGAACTACATGATTATAAAGGAAGATTATAAAGTAAAATCTCAAAATTTTTTGTAAACTTTGCACAGTTTCATGCCGTGAATGAGAAGTCGGGCACAAATACAATTCACAGTTTCCGAAAGCGTGATCCTTTACCTTTAATTTACTTTTTTTTTTACCTCTGTACGATTTTTTTTACCGAGTTATTCAACATTGAAGTAAAAATGGTCCCTTTGACTTTGACTGCTCATAAAAGACGAACGGAGTGACGTATAGCCTTTTTAAAAAAAGCAAGAAAAAGTTAAAGTTTTCTCTTTAAGTTGCTTTTATCAATTTTTAGATACAGATAAGCTTTTTATGTAAAAACTTAAGTGAAAGATAAAGTTGAAAACTGAGACAATTATCTGTTTCTATTCAACTCGATCTATTCTGATCAAAAAGAGAGAGAAACTCTATTAACGTAATTTTACACTTTAGGGTCTACTAATTTCAACGAGACTCATACAAAACAGTTGCGACATTTTTAAATCAATGTCCTTCATGTTCGAAGTTACGATTTTGGGCAAGACGACATTTGCTGATTTGAATTTAATCTTATATCG